CCCCCCCCCCGGGGCGCTGAAGAATAAGGGTGAGAAGTCCTTGCCTGTACAATGACAATGCCATCAAGCCTGAGTGGCACGGTCTATTTCAGCTCATTTATTTATACTCCTTCAACATAAATGAATAGTTTTATGGCTCTGGTCCTCCTACAATCACTAAAGGTCTGAAGGGGTCTCTTAAAAGCTTTTTCAGTTGCCCTTTATTTAATGTGAGAAATACAGCTGTAACTGTACTTGTGAATTTGAGGATTTGTCAAAGTCAAGGGTCTGCCCAATACATACAAAAATGAGAGAAATATAAATAAGGCAAGAAACAAAAAGCAAATGAGTAGGATAAACTCAGGAAGAGGTAGGTCCTTCTGTGGTCAGCAGTTAGACAGGCGTGAGCACAGCGAGGACAATGGGCCAGGCACAGAAGGTCACCAGGGTGGAAAGCCCTGGATGCCTAGCAAGGGACAACTGTAGGGTGGGGCCTCGCCCCCAGGGTGGCCTTTCCCCCCTAGCATATCACTGAACCTGTGGCTTGGACCCCCTCACCTCTCCTCCCTAGAGAGAAAATTTAGGCCTCAGTTGTGTTTCACTCCAGGCCCAGAAAAGCAGCAAAACCAGCCACAGCTGACCTCAGGACCAGCAGCATTGAATGAGGTCCCAGGCCCTGGCACCGACCAATCAGTGGAGACCTCAACCCCAAGGGACACACCTGGAAAACTGCTGATTATAATGAGATCGTCCCCTGAAATCTCCTCCCTTAAAACCCTTAGGAAGGAGGGCCCAAGCCTTCTCCAGCCCTTCCCCTTCCCCCACCCGGCCAGTTAGTATTACCATTAGCTTCCTCACTCCCAAATTCCAAGGGCCCTTCCTTTGCCTCTACAACTTGTTTCCTAAGCCCATTTCTTCTAGGAATTACTTCTTCCACCTCTATAATTTTACCTAATAAATATTCCCTTGTAGGTCTTTGGGTCTCGACTCTGAATTCTTTCCTAGCCAGAACCCAAGTACTGAGGTTGCTGAACCCAGGTCCAGTCTTACCCCACCAGACTAACACCCAGTACCATTCCCGTTGAAGGACAGGCATAGGAGGAAGACCTGTGGACCTCACTGGTATGTCTCTATGTGCCCAGTGCCTTACAGACAGGGAGGGCAAGTTCACACCTCCCCCACTGCTCGACTGGTCATTCCAATTAATGGCACTCAGTGAGCCTGTGCGGGGCTCAATCATCTAAAAGGAACATCTCCCGTCTTCTTAAAAAAGTAAGGGATCGAAAAGGAAGAACATATACAAACTTGATAAATTTTTCTCTACTGGGCACCAAATATCCGCAATGAATGAGGCACTCCTGACAGGCCTTTGGACAATGCTAACCAACAGAACAAGCTCAGATTCTCATTTCCTCTTTAGCAGTGCCACCGTATTTCCAGGTAAACACTGCTCAGTTACCTGCTGTGAAAAGTCCACACGCTTAAAACCAACGAGCAATGCGTCCCCCTTCACCCACAAAGCCAGCCGAGCCCTGATCCCACCTACCCTTCCTCTTTTGAAATATACTGCAGTGGTAAGAATCTGCTTTAACGGAATAAATACTGAGTGCAGGTGGATCTCCAGTGCTCTTAGGATTGCTTCCTGCAGGAGACCAAGGTTATCAGGGTTGGCCCCACACTCGCAACCTTGCCTCAGACTAAGATAAGCTTCATTCATAACCACAGTTCCAAGAATCCCGCTGAGAAGACGTGCCCCACGTTTAAGGCTATGAAGCTCGACCGTTTACACCCTAGGTCATTACAGAAAAGAATGTGACCTGAGCCCAATGGACAATCCTCCCATGTCCCATCGAGGTCACACCAGTACTGTTCACGTGAAAAAGGCCAGTCCCCGAAGGGCTGCTGCCTGCACCCCACCTTCCAACCTACTTCATTATAACCAGCAGCAAGAGATCTCACACGCAACATGCAACCTTTTATAAATGAAGATAAGAGTCCAGTTTCCCATGCACAAAAAACACATATATATATATCAGACTAAAATAGCACCAGATGCTTCAGCATAGCAAAACAATGAAAGTAAATGGGTGAGATACAGAGAAAGCAGAATGGGCGGGGCATGGCCTTGGATTACTTCTGTGTTCGAAAAGGCCCAGAATTATAGAGTCCACACAGAGAGGGGGGCCTCAAATCCTGTTTAGAATGGGGCCAAAGAGAAATGATAAAGTAAAAGATACACTAGAGATCCCACAGGACCCAGGATTTATTAAATTGCAGGAAAATTCTATTTCATATTTAATGATGTACACTAAAAATGAGCTATAAAAACTGACAAGATAAAATAGATTTAGAGGCCACTCATGACGCAGATGATCTTAACAAACAAAGCCTTGATGTGTAGGCAATAATCTTAAGGAGACAGAAAATGTGAAGAAAATCCGTCACCCCAGCCCTGGCCGGTTTGGCTCACTGGTTAGAGCATCTGCCCACGGACTGAAGGGTCCGGTTCAGTTCTGGCCAAGGGCACGTGCCTCGGTTGCAGGCTCCATCCCCAGCCCCAGCCCGGGTGGGGGCGCCTGCAAGAGGCAGCCAGACAGTCTCTATCACGTCAACGCTTCCCTCTCTCTCTCTCCCCCTTCCACTGTCTCTGAAAAGCAATGAAAAAATATCCTGGGCGAGGGTTAAAACAAAGTTTTTAATAAGCCATCATAAATAAATAAACTCGGTCACTCCAGACTCATCTATGCAGCCTGCAACCACATTAATTCAGAAACTGATAGCTGAGGGAAAACGCTCTGGTCCATTCTTCATTCCCGCGGTTTGTTTCCCCGGTTGTTTCACGGTTCCTTAGGTGCTCTACCCCCAAAAATAAGCAGGAGTATAAATTACAATTTTGGCATCACCTTTGCCAGTTATGTTCCCCTTTAATACAAATAAGGTGAGCAAAGTTTACCACCCCAAAACACGCCTCTTTGGGATACTGGTTACTTTTTGCCAGTTAATTTTAAGCAACAGCAGATGTGGGGGAAGCTCTGAAAAGCAGGTGGAAGCTACAGGCTGTGACTTTTAAGGGAAACCTCCCTCACTGC